CTGGATTGTTCCAGGAGGCCACCAGTACACAGGTGGTGTTGGTATCGGAGCAGTTGAGTTGTCCCCGAGGGTTGGAGGTAACATTGGCTAGCAATAAGGCAAATGGGGGTAGAGGGCCAGGACGTCCTGTGATCAGTGGATGTAAGGATTTTGTTTTTGGCACAAGTAGAGGGATTGGTGTTAGTGTAAGTGCCATTGGAAAGCTGAAGGCCCTGCTGTGCCAGTAACGGCCTCATGTCCATGCAGGCGTGCGGACCACAGAGGTCCCAGTTACCGAGTATTGATTTGCAGTTGGTATTGGAGATCTTAATGCCTCAGGGATAGGTGGGGGCCAGTTGTCTCCAAGATCCTAGGGGGTGACTACAGGGGGAGTGGCTGAAGCGGCAAAAGGGAGGGATGGCATGGATGGGCTTAGGGTGGCATCTCTGCCACAGTATAGGGAGCACAAAGAAAAAGGGTGCAAGGGAGCATGTGCGTGGGCAGTTGGGGAGCTGTGGGCGTAGAATGGCAGGGCAAAATGGAGGTGGAGGGGTGGTGGTCCCCTCTGCCTCCCCTGTTATTATTGTCCCCAGTGCAGCGAGGACTGAGGCTACACTGGTGTTGTTGAAGGTAGGGGAACGGCCCTTGAGTTTAAGCATGTAACCCGAGGAGGCACTGCTGGCATGATCTTGGACAGTCAGGTTGAACAGCCCAATGCATGAGGATGCGTTGTTTGTAGTGAAGCATAGAGAGTTATTTAGGGGCCAGGAGCCATTGAGTGATTCCCAGGAAGTAACTGGGTCCATGGTGGTGAGGCCAAGCATAGAATTAGTTGATTAGAGGGTGGGGTAGGCTGGGGAATGAAGTGATGAGGGAAAGAGTATAACAGGGTCATTAGTGGGGAGTGGTTGAGGATTGGGAGAGTCCATAATATCTGTCTCATTTCCCCTCTTGTCAGCAGGGCTGAGGGGTGCCCCGGGTGGAGTTTAAAGGAGCCAAGTCCAGCTGAGGCTGTGACCTACAGTCTTTAGCCCAATGGAACCCTTTTTTGCACTTGGGGTAGCGAGTCTTGGGGCGGGCTGTACCTCTTTGGCAGTGGCTACAAAGTGGCCAAGCCCCCCACAGTTCCAGCAGCCTTCCCGTGTGCCAAAGTGGGTGGGTTTTCCCACCCTAGGGTCTAAGTCTCTAGTAGCGAGTACCCATTTGTGAATGTTATCATTGCGGACAGGCATGATAGCATTATGAGTAGGGATGTTTAGTCCCTTCCAAGTTGTTTGATAAGCACCTCTCAGGTGGGTCCAGACTCCACCCTCCGCTCTCCTGCCTCAGTGACATGGGTAAGGAAGTCCATGAAGGACTCCCCTGACTGTTGAATCAAATTATGGAAAAAGTCTTGTGGGTCACAGGGGGAGCAACATTTAAGGGCCTTAAAGGCCAAGTCAGAAACTTGTTGAAAATAGGCATGGAGGCCAATAGTAGACTGGGAGATGGGGTCAGTATATTATCCACGTCCCGTGAGCATGTCCAACGTAATGTTGAGGCCATATTGGAGATTTAGACGTGCCTGGCTTTCAGCCTGATCGTCATAGGCTGTGCGCCAGTTTAGAAAGACTGAGGGTTCTAAGACTGCCTTTAGTAAGTTATACCAATCATAGTGGGTTTGTAACTGTAAGGACCACTGGCAAAGAACCTGCTTGAAATATGGGGAGTCAAAGCCCGATTGCTCAGCTGCCTTGCAGATAAGAATGAGGTCAGCAAGTGGGATGGGCAGCCATGGACGCTGCACCGCATCAGGGCCGATGTTAACCGGAAATGTGGACAAAGGCAGGTGAGGCTTTAAGGAGGGCAGCCTAGGAGGGAGGGGTACGGTAGCAGGGGAAGGGGCGGGATGGTTATTGGGGAGGGGGAGAGTAACTCCTTCCACAGGTAATGGGGCGGGGGAATTTCTGGGCATGGTAGCTCTAGGAGAGAATCCTGAGATAAAGGCAAAGGAGCTCCTTCCTTATTGGAAGTGGGCACAGAGGCTGCGTCCACCTCAGGGTCCGGGAGGTCCAAGGTCGAGGTAATATCCAGATCTACACTAGATTCCTCCCGGCAGTGTTTGTTGTAGGCCGAGATGACTTCCTCAGGAGAAGAGGATTTAAGGCTAGCAATGATGGCTAGGAGGATTGGTAGGAACGATGCGGGGGGAGTGATCTCTGACCTAACCTCCCTTTTTCAGGCCAGGAAGAGGACCTGCATCTGCGTGTCAGGGTCCCACATGTTTTCAGGGGAGACCCACAGAGCCAAATTAGTGGCTTCATCCCAAAAGTGTTCAATATCTTTTGGTTTCACTTTCAACCCTCTGGTTTTAAGGAGAACCTTGAGTGCTTCCGTTTGTAGTTCCCAGCATTGTGGTGGTAAATTGCCCATTGTGGGAGGGTCTTGCAAAGGGAATTCACCACAAAAGTAGAAGACAAGGATGACTACCAAGAGGAAACAAAGGAAGCAAAGAAGCACTGTGAGCCACTAGGATGTAATCCACCCCGACATGTAAAGGTGTATTG